TATTTTATTACATTATATATTAATTTATATATGAGCCGTTTATTTTGAAAGTGGCATAAGTCACATTTTTTTCTTATTTTTTTTTTAATTGAAAATGAAAAGACTTGTAATTAGTGTTGCCATTAACTAGGTTTTTTTGAAAAAGTGACTTATGCCACTTTCAAAATAAACAGCTCATATATAGAATATATAATAATGGAAATATATTTATAATATTCTTAGTTTATGTTTCCTTGATTGCTTACTTGTAATTATATAAGAGATTATGATACTTCATATGAGTATTCGTGGATAGTATATTAATGTAGGATATGTGTGTGTATTTCAACGTTGACTTTTAACAGAAACACACATCCATTTCTTGTTAAATACGCCAGCACACGTCCTGAGATGCTTATTTCTTGCAATGTTAACAAGAAACCGTAATGGGAAGGCCACTTGTAATAGGAAGGGGAATCTCGACGGATTTAAAAGGATTTCGTACATGTATATGTATATATATATGTGTGTGTATGTGTGAATTTCTCTCTTTCTATCTTCCTATATCTTCCTATATCTTTCTCTCTCATTTCTATCAGGGATGACAACGAGTTACTTGTGCAAACCGTCTGTTTTTACTTCCAAGCTGTTAAATCATACCCAATTGGGCTTGTCTTTGTTTTCATATCTTTCTAAAAAAAAACTTCTAACTATTTCAAATATTATCCATTTCTAGCATCTTTTTCTATATAACAATCGATGTGATTTATGTATATTATATTTTATAATTTAATATTTCATTTTTAACATCAAATTTATATTATTTCTACATTTCTCTGTGTATAATGTAATATTATACATATATATATATGTATAATTATATGTCATAGACAAAGTGATTTAATACGAGCATGGTGAATAATGAATAACAGAATCGTGCAATGTAATTAATTTCAATGATAAGGTTGAGTCTTTTTAGAGAGAGAGAGTTACTTAGAATAAATTTATTACATTGTTCGATTATGTTTGTTATTATTTATGATGATCGTATAAATCACTTATTGTTAATATATAATATACACACACACACATATATATATATTATTGGATTCGTGAATAATCCTGATATTAATGTGAGTTCGTAAATAATGATTAAAGAAAATTTGAAATGTATACATTTTAAAATGTTTTTTGTTTTTTTTTTTTTCCAGGGTAAATTCAATTAACATTTCTTCCTGTGATAAAGAGAACTTTGATTAATCAGCATGATCGGTCGACAAACGACTGGGATAAATCGAAATGAAATAAATAATTGAGACTGCGGTGGAATTATTGAAAACACATTTCACACACAACACGTATGTAAAATAAAATATTTTTCTGTAGAATAATGTTGGTGATGTTGAAATGGAAAACGTTAAGGTAAATGTAATACATTAAATCGTTCATTTTCTAAATTAATTTAATTCGTCGAGACAAAAATTAAAGAAAATTTATAAAATTAAGAACACCTATCATATTTAATTTATTTTAATTCGAAAGAAAAAACATGTTTCTCAATTAGTAGCGTTAAGCATTATTATTATTATTAAAAAAATTAATTTTTAATATAAAGAATGGAACAATTATCAAGCACTTTGATATTAAAATTTAAAAATACTCTAAAAATGAAATTAATTACCCAAACCTATGAACAATTTAAACATACAATAACTCACATCAGCTCAAATATTCAGACACCATTGCTTTTCAAATATGATTGTCCTGTACACTTACTTCTATATAATTGAATTAAGGAATTCATGTTTCTTTTTACYAAGTAGTACACAGTTTTTACTWATCAGRAACAGGTTTCATTAATATAATTATCCATATATCATAAAATTAACAAGCAAACACTTACTTTTAGTGTCGTAAAAACATTTTAAACCTAAAAAATAAAAAGAAAAGAAAAGAAAATTCTAATAATTTAAATATTTAATAGGATTCCTCTTCTGTTCAATAAAACATGTTGCAATCATGTTAATATGTTCCTATACTTGTATACAAATACTCGATAATTGTAAAGCTATAAAATTTAAAAATACTCTAAAAATGAAATTGATCACCCAAACCTATGAACAATTCAAACATACAATAACTCACATCAGCTCAAATATTCAGACACCATTGCATTTCAAATATAATTACTCTGAACACTTACTTCTAATTAAATTAGGGAAATTATGTTTCTTTTTACCAAGTAGTACACAGTTTTTACTTATCAGGAACAGGTTTCATTAATATAATTATCCATATATCATAAAATTAACAAGCAAACACTTACTTTTAGTGTCACAAAAACATTTCAAATCTAAAAAAAAGAAAATAAAATTCTAATAATTTTAATATTTGATAGGATTCCTCTTCTGTTCAATAAAACATATCGCAATCATGTTAACATGTTCCTATACTTGTATACAAAAACTCGATAATTGTAAAACTATCATACTATAGTATCTTATTGAACTTAAAGTTATACGCGTTGTTCGTTCTGATAAAAGTAAAACAAAAACAAAAGAAAAAGAAAAAAGTGGGAGAAAGAAAGAAAGAAAGAAAGACAGAAGGTAGACGAGGTACTTCAATTAAAGAAACTTCGTGTAACGAGAAATCGACTTTGGAAGAGAACGACTAGAAGACTATACTTTGCTATTGTGTTATACACTCTCGGCTTGTATTGGATGCCAGTCGTTGTATTCGGGTTTTGCCCTGGCAAGATTACCGAAGGAAAAACGAAGAGAACTCGATGAAATAGAGTCCTGGCATTAGTTTTCTTTTCTCCTTGATACTTTGCAAGGATAGCAGCTCTACTTACTTAGGATCTGAACGCAAGCTTGAACTAAACACCCCCTAGCTAGATAGTAGTACCTCTCCTCTCCTCCTAGATACCTCGTTGTTGTTGTTGTTGTTGCTCTACCTCTTTGAAAAAGAGAACCCACCCAGGCTATTGTAAAAGAAGGCCAAATGCCGAGTAAATTTCTTCATGAAACAAAAAAAAAGAGAGTGAGAGAGGAAGGCGTGTTTACTTTAATTACTTCTCGTGGATCATTGGTTGCAAGGATAACGACCTGCCAAGCAAGAAACACGCGTTAAATTACACGAATAACTTTACGAAAAGTATTAAGAAACAACATGTCAGTTAAACTTTTGTAATTTAAATCCAAAAAAAAAGAAAAGAAAAGAAAAGAAATATATACCAGATTAGTTTTATTTTGTAATTTTGTTCTTTTTTTTTTTTTAAAGTTTGTAATTTATTTTTTGTTTCTTTCTTTCTTTTATTTGTTTTATATTATTTTTTTATTACTACTACGACTCGATCGAGATTTATGTACTTGTTTAATATATATATATATATATATATGTACGCGAATATAGAATTGGTTTTACACTAATTTGAATACTTATGATTGTTTCGCTTAATATTTATTGACGTTACTATAATATGAAATTGTTTGCATACTGTTTACTCTCACTTCGAGATAGTATATTTATATATATATATATATATATATATGTTTGTATTAAAGTAAATCAAATTTTATCGCACGCCGATGGTATGGAAAATAACGAAACGACGTGGGGATTAACGGGAACACAATTTTACAAACCACGTGCGTATGAGCGCAATTAAATTCGATATAACGACGGAAATTGTTGAAGATACACGAAACGAAACGAAACGAAATAAAACGAAACAAAAATACTATACTTCTTTCCCCCCTCCCCCCTCTCGTTTATTATTATTTATTTTTATTTCAATTACCTTCTTTTCCCATCCCACCCCCCTTTCTTACTTCATTTCCTAACTGAAATATCTACAACAAACTCATATCTGCTATTTAAAGAGCAAAATACGGTTTGTGGTACGCGAGGAATTCGAATCGTTCATATCCTTTTTTTTCTCTCTCTCTCTTTCTAATTCTCTGATTCTCTTTTCCTCTCTTTCTCTATTTCAATCTTTTTGCTTTCATTGTATATACAAGAGCCGAGCATCGACCCTCGGTCGTCGTGTGCATCGGCAAGGCAACTAACTCTCTACAGAATTTCAGCATGTGCTGCTGCTTTATTCGAGTATCGTTGGTAGATCCCAGCCATTTGCCGGACGTATCGAACACAACCACTCTTTGAATTATTTCCACGCGGTAAAACAAAAGGAACTAGAATTGTATGAACGGTGGGAAAAAGTCTAGGTCATCCATTAACTTCTCGTTACTTGCAATTTTTTTTTTGTCTCACTCATTCTCTCACTCTCACTCTCTCTCTCTCTCTCTCTCTCTCTGTATTTAATTATATATGTGTGCCATGTATACGATATATGTGAAGTGTGTGTGTGTAGGTAAATTTAATTAC